TAAAATTAAAAAAGAAATACAAATGATAATCCAAGAGAATGACCTGGAAAATGTTTTCTTATTGTATCTACAAAAGAGGCTTGTTAAAGCCTTGAAGAAATCTGTGTGATGGGTTAAGGAAGAATTGAAGAGAAATCAAATCCTACAACAATATTTGATTGAATTAAACATTAAGACTGTTAGAAGTAAAAGGAAGGAATATAAAATTGGTTTCTTTGATCAAGGTTAAAATAAGACATTTTGTTGCAATGTTCTGGCAACCCTTTATGAACTTTTTGCTGACACCAGTATTGAAAAGTTGATGATTTATGGATTTGCTTATAGATAAGGGATGGAATATGAGATAAAGAGGTATCTGTTTAACCTTATAGGGGGTGAAAAGTTATTAAATTTGTTTATATTTGTTTGTGATGAGGTTGGAAGTCATCTCTTTATATCTTTTATTTTCCTTTATTATATTCTCTTTTTTTCCTTCTTTTTCTTTTCTTATCCTTTTTATTCTTTCTTTCCATTCTCTTCTTTCTCTTAGTTTGCATTAGTTTTTACTATTGTAATTAAAATTCTTAATAAAAATTATATTTGAAAAAAAAAGGAGTCATATTTTTCTTTCCACTTTTTCCTATTTCCTCCAACTCTCAATTGATTCCTTAACCTTAATCTATCTAATAAACAACCTGTAGCTTCTTCTCAAATTAGTACCTGGATTCTGACAGGATATTTAACTTCTCACACATCCTGGCCACTCTGATAGTCTACAGAAAAGCCAAGAAAGCCAAGATCAAGAGGTCGTCTTCACTTTTCTTCCCAAGTCAAGATGGGGAAGAAAATTTCTCTGTAAAAGAGTGGATGGGAGCAGCTACTGAATAGGCTTTCCCTAGTGTAAAGGTGAAATAACAGAGGTTGTAGGGGAAGGGCTTAGAGATCTCCATTTGAGAAAGCCAGGGAGGCCAGCACACCACAATCCTCTGTGTGCATGTGTAAGTGCACAGTCTGTTACAGCATATATACTGTCTCCAAAACTTCAGTCCTGCTTAGAACTACCTCAGATCCCTTTAAATAGAAAATGGAGCTTAAACTTGGGATGTTTCATAGACAGTGTCATGGGTTCAATCAAAATGAAGAACAATGATAAACGATTTCTGAGCAACAGAAAACAACACAATAGTTCATAGCAAATCCTCCTAACCCATTTTTTACTTTATTACCAAAGAGTAGGATTTGTGTGTGTGTGTGTGTGCGTGCAATGAATATTGTACAGGGATAACTGCAAAGGACAAGAAACATATCATGTCTAAGGACAAGGAACTTATACTCCATGAGTAGCAATATTCTAACTTTGCAAGAAAGCTAAAATCTCCATGAGAAAATTCTCCACTGAAATATCCTATGTGAGGGGCTCGAAAAACCTGAAATTAGTACTAAGAAGGAATTATCTTCTTTAATTTATTGTACAAACATTCAAATAAATGTACAATTTAATGAGACAAGCCACTTTTTTTCATTAATCTCCAAGAAAAGATTTCACAACTATAGATTCTATAGAAGAGCATGGAAACTTTACTATAAAATTTAATTTCCCAGTAACAATGAACACAAACAGCTTAAGCTGCTTCAATTTATTCCCCATTCATGGTAATCCCATCAATTACAGCAGGTCCATTTAATATTCATATTCATTAGAGCAAACAAGTCTAAATTCAAGTTAGCCCAAGGAAACAGTATGTCAGAGAATAGTGATTGTAGGGACTGAGCTTGGAGTGCATTTCACTTGTTCTATTTCAGCCCTGTAATGAACAACTAATTCATGTTTAATATGTTTTAATACATGTTTTCCTCTGCAAAGGAACATCTCTGAATATGGGAAGCTGCTTTATACTTAGCCAGAGCCAAACTCTCACTACTCCAGTAGTGCTCTGTTGTGCCTGGTGGGGTCTCTCAAGGTTCTCAGGTGGGAGGCTCTTCAAACCCTGCTAGCTTTTTCACTTTGAATGCCAGGGATCCAAATAAGGGGGATTATGTATCCAAAGCATTATCTTGCTCCTAAGTTTTAGTTTGGGCCCCAGCAGCAGCAAGGAGTATAGATATATTTTAATCTATATTCTACATGTCACTTCAGACAAAGGAAAGAAGAAAAAACTGCAAGGTCAACAATGGACTCTAGAAAGAAGTAGAAATATATTTAGATGAAGCACAGGAATGAATGGCAAAGGGGTTGAAGCTTGGACATAAATAATTACATCCTCCTGCTTCTCCTGATGAAAATAGAACATAATAAAGAATCCTGTTTTTTAATGGCTTGAAATTAACTGTTTAAACTTCCTTTCTTCCATACAGCATTCAACTGCTTTGCTGAGAGGACTTCTCTTTCACCAATGAAGAAGAGAATCATTCCACACTCACACCAGACTATTCTGCCTGGTATACAGTATCTGGTGGTAAAAGGTACCCCCACAAATATGTGAGCTGCATCCACTACCAATCCTATAAGGTACCTCCCCATACATGTGAATTGCTTGAAGTGCCCTTGTAATAAACATCACAGGAACTTCTGAGGAGACAGGCATAACATTTATTCTGCTAACACGTATACTGAATGAGAATATGGGTACACTTGATGATGATCCTTCCCTTCCCTCCTGAAAAGCAACAACATCAGTTCAGGATCCGTGTAGACTGGCTAATTCTGTTTAGGAGCCTGAATGACATAATCTATTTTGGATACACTGCTGAGTATTCTTTTGTCCTTCATGTTTTAAACAAATGCAGACCTGAATGACTGAATGAAACTGTTTCCTTAACCTGACATTTTCCATCACCCCCAGCTCCTTAGCCCAGGAAAAGGCCAGAATATAATAGTTAATCTGTAGATTGCTTTGCCAATCATCTGGGTGTGTGCGTGTGTGCGTGTGTATGCATGTGCATGTGCCCCTTTGTTTCTTGTTCAGCCAAGCCACTCTTTCTTACCCTGTTGGAGTCAATTCTTGTCCTTGATGTATAGATGGGTGGAGGAATATTAAATGCCTGAGGGACAAGATATTCTTCAGCATCCATCATGTCTTCCAGGTCTCCCTCATCCAGCAGATTCTGGAAAAATTTGCTGTCATTTGGGCTTGGGAGCTTCATGCGATCATCACCCTGCACCATGGCACATTGATAGAAAATGAAAAATGATTACTCTGTTCACATCAATAATTTATCTGCTTGGCCACAGAAATCAGTGTTATTAGCTATATTTTTTTCATACTTCTCCTTGTTCTTTCCACAAATTTTTTTAAACAATTTTTGGACAATATTCTTCCCTAGATACTAGGAATATGTTAGTGCCAAATCAGAGCCTTGTTCTGAAACTTTTTAGCAATAATAGTAATAGGGGTTATCCCAGCACAGGAGCTACTGAGATGTTACTGCTTTCATAAAATACTACTATTGTTAATGTTAATATTACATCTAGCTATAGAGAAACAAAGCTTGTTTGCACTCCACAAAATTCTTATAACAGCCTCATAATGAGGATTTGTTTTCTATATCAAGAGAACTAAGGTTAAGTAGCTTGTACAAGTCCACCTAAGGGAAGAGAAAAGTAAACGCCTTTGCTCTGTAGTGGCAACCTGCCTTGTAGATTCAGTCTCTAGTATCTCCAGTTAAAACTCCTGAGTGATGTCGGAGAGAACCTTTGTCTGAAATCTTTGAGGGAAGTGTCCATTCACAGTTTACTACTCTGGGCTAGATGGCAAATAATTTGATCTGATTTAGGGCAGCTTCCTCTTCCCCTTAGAACCTTTCATCATAGCTTCTTGGTTTAAAGGGATATAATGCTAACAGGTAAAAGTTATCTGATTTCTCACCTGAATTTTGAATAAAAGAACACTTTTTTTTTGTTTGCAAAGTTGGAAATCTATTATTCCAGCAGTGGGCTTTTGACTGTCTGAACTTTCTTTTCTGTGGTTCCTTGGGGAACTCAAGGATTGTTGAAACTGTTTTTATCTGTCACACTGATATCATCTTGTTCCCAGCCCTCCCTCTTTATCTTTTCAGGTACTGGAACAGAAATGCTAACTTTGGGAAACACGCAGTATATGCTACTCTAGGCCAAAATTGAAGGTATTCAAGTTACCAACTATTCTTGATATATTTTTAACAATTTAGTGTACTGACATTCAGGGTTTTCATTTAAGCCAATCTGTACTAGCATCAACCAGAAAAGCCTCTAAAGGAGGAAACAGAATATACTTTTATCTACATTATTACCAGAATATTTAAAAAGCTTTTGTGAACAGAACTATATTTATACTTATATTTTAATGGCTAGCTTGCTATTGAGGAAAAGGAGAAAGTATTCATTGTATTGTTGCTGTTCATGTTTACAGGAGAGTCTGATATATTTAAAAAATCATTTTGAGTGCATATGCTAATGATGAGAAGAGTACAAATATTGCACATTCAAAATATCTTGAGATAGAAACAAGTGGTCTCATTTTGCTAGAAGTATTCTGAGGCTGATCCAAAGATCCTCAAAGTATTCCAAGCTTGAAACAGCTCTGTTTGACACTCAGAACTACTAATGAAAGTACAAAGAGGGACTGGGTGAGAATTAAAATATTTCATCTTACTGCAACTTGGGGCTATCTTTGTTCTGCCTAATGATAACATAAACATGAAAATAGCACAGGAGAAAAATAACCCACTCTTCAGTGGAGGCAGGGAAACAGAGGTTCGCTAATATAATAATTATTTGTAGCTAACCTTGGTGAGGCAAATAAACATGTAACATTTGCACTGACCAACCTCTTATCTGGACCATCTTCACAAAGCTATGAGCACATTCAGAGGCCATGATCTGAGCTGTCTCCTACAGTACATAGAGGACATTCTGAAAGCATCGACGATTAGCAGAATTACTGAGGTAATTTTTTTTGCAATGGGCTTTTAAGACAAAATGGTATATTTTATTCTGTACTGAGTAGAATAGAAGCAACATATGAATTTATCTATTTTATCTATTTATCTATTTTCAGTGACTCAGGAACACCAGCTACTCTCATGAGCAACCCAAAACAGCTGTGGAGATTGTTTTGAAGATGCATAGGCATTTCAAAAATTCAAGGTTAAAAAACAAACAAAAAACAAACAAACAAACCCCAAAACTACCCCAAAACTCCTGTCAAGGTTCACTGCTGAGAAGATGGTTGTATGTAAGTAGCCATGATCAGTTAGGAAGGAGGAGGAATAACAGAAGGAGATGGAGGCAGCATTCTGGCCACTCACCTGAATGACCAAATATCTTTGAGGATCTCGAGCCATTCTAGAAAATTCAGCAGCCAGCTCCTTGAACTTGGGCCGACTATCAGCATCAATCATCCAGCCTATGGCCATACGCAGAAAGAGGGAAAAAGTGTTTTTGTTGGAGGACTGTCTTTTTTTCATAAATAGTTAATTGAAATAACAATTATGAGGAGACCACTGGAAGTTAAACAGTTTTTTTTTAAATTCCCCAGTTTGATCATGTGCTCAAATTTCTATTGAAACTGAAATAAGTGGAAATTTACAATACATAATTTTGGATTCTATTAGATCCTCCCATGATTTTTATACTTCAGCTCACTCAACTGGCTTCCTGCTTCCATAATTTTTTAAACATTATTATTCTTTACCACACTCTGCAAGTCTACCATCTGAACTAAACATATTCTGACTTGCAATAAACAACTGCATGAGTTACAATTAATGTGTGCTTTTTTTTGCATATATTCTTTTTTTCTTTTCATTTTTACTGTTCACTGTGCTTTACACATTATCAGCATGCCCCTGAAATTTGTGATTGCCTGAATTATCTGTTCTGTAAAGCATTTTATTTATTTCTCTCTCTGCTTGTGGTTGAGAGCTGTAATGCCCATCTCCCAACTTCTGTATCCCAGTCTGAGTCACTACAATTGGATGTTCAGTTCCTGCTGCTGTGTAGATTTTGGTTCTCTCTAATATTCCCAACCAGGTGCATCTTTTAGAACCTTCTTTATATTTCAAGAAGCAAATATCTTTAAAAATAACCCTTTTTTTCACAACCATAAAGATGGCTGTTAAACATAACAACATGAATATCAATGAGTGGCTTTTTACTGGATCCCCTTCCTGCTGTCCCCATTATTTCAGTGTATCTGTTAATGCTGAATATATCTGTGCATATACAGCCTGGTTGTTGTCTATGGCTGCTACGGAAGCATTTGCCATGCAAAGAAAGTTTCTTCTTCCTGTCTCTTATGAAGCTTATAAGAAATGGCTACTTTGCCCTACTTCTCTCTGCAAGCCAAAGGGCACAAAGTATTACTAATAGGTAGATTCTGCTCATCAACAGGCACTAGCCTATCTTACAGCAAGCCTAAATGAAGATAGCATTGACATTCCTAGGAATCTGTCATTATCCAACAGGAAGTCCAAATACGATGGGTCTTATCTGCTTATCTGAAACCTCCCTCATCTCTGTTTAGATACTCTCTAGGACTTAGTTGGAATGCTTGATTCATACTGATGACAACTTGTGGAATTGTCTCTAATATACTATCATATCCAAGTTCTCAGATATTATAGGATCACTCAATCCAGTATAAAAGTTCATAGGAAGAAATATGGATCGACTCCACACAGGATTAATAGATGCATAGGTCCCAAACCATGATCATGCAATTAACTCCACCAGAAGGGAGATGGACAAATCAAATGAGCAAGTGATCATTTTTCCTGTTGCTCATTAATACATGGATGTGCCTCTCTTGTGTTAAATAAAGGAAAAATTATTAAGGTAACTTTATTAAGAAAACTGAGGCAAAAGAATAATGCAACAATGATGATGGCAAATCCTGATAATTTATTTTCAGAATTAGTATTTTTGTTATTTATTATCAATAAATCAATATATTTAATTGCACATTTCTAAAGCAGCTTACAATAAAAATCTTAGGTTCAAATAAATGTTTAATTTCCAGTGCATGGTTTGGAATTCTGGCCTAGTTCTGACGGGAATAATCCATGCTTGATCTAAATCACCTTCAACTTTCAAAGTTCAGGTAGGAGGTATCACTGATTCTCAGTACAAAACATTTCCTTGCCTATTGAAATTTTATCAAACCAGTATATTAAATAAAAGTTTTCTATGGACAAATAGTAATTTTTGTGGAGGAATTTTCAATCATGTGTAGTTCCAGCTGCAGCCTGAAGTGTGGCAGGCCACACTACAATTCTTCATTTAAATGACAACTGAATTGCTGTGCAAAGGAAAGAAGAATCTATGATTGTCATACCTACATTAGAGTTCTAAAAAAGTGATGCTCTTCTGAAAACATGCATTTAAATTCCTTGTTTTTAAGTCTACTCTGAGCAAAGTAGATACAAGAATAAAAGATGAGATATTGCTTCTAAGAGTACCCAAACTAACAGTTGATTAAACATCAGGTATCACAGTTAATGGATCCAGTTTACCATTTCTACATTGAACATGATTTTGACTGACTCATGGCCAAAATATCTGACATTAATTTTGGACTTTTTTACTTCTTCCTCATCCCCTGCACTATGTTATTTTTTGTCATTTTGGTTAATCTCAGTTATGGTTTTGCTTTGTTTTACTTTCACATGCTAAAGGTTTGATTATCATCTGGTATATAACACCAGAATCAGGAATTCTTTTTCTTCTCCTTCTCCTTCTTCCACTTAACCAGTATGAAATTGATGCTCCCCATCAAATTGCTGTGCTCTGCTGCTACCACTCAACTCAAACATTAGTAGGATCATCTTTTTTGTACCTTATGATAATGTTTTCACCTGTACATGTCAGCAACAAGCCACATGGAAGAAATGGCTGTTTGTTAATCCCATTTAAATTAAACCAGAAAGACCACAGAGTATTTCTTAATTCTTTTAAAATTAAAACTGGAGCTCCAGGATTTACATCTTCTAGCACTTAACAGTTGGGGGGGGGCAGGATGTGTCGGGTGAGAATCCAGATGCAAACATAAACAAAATAATTTGTCTCTGGATTCTTCTTGATTCTAATGTTCTCATAAAAATGCACTCTAGTTAGCGTGAAATATCAATATCTATAAATGGCTGGTTCTACATAGGAAAACTACTCCCCTAAACTCATTTTGTTTCATTCTATTAATTTATCTCTCTCTCTTTTTAAAAATAAAATCTTGGATTTATTTCTTTTTCATTTTGTAATTTGGAAAAATGTTAATCTCTTTACAACATTTCATATATGATTACCTGTGTTCTAGAAAAATATGAAGTATCACCTAATAAAACAGTTGTCATAGAAATGACAGTCATTTGTGTGCTTCAGGTTTCATGGCAATACTGTATATTATCTGGTAACAATAAGAATCCAGCTAACGCAAGGCCCCCTCAGTCAGATTCATCTCTTTTACACAGTTCAAGGTGTTCATGTATGCTATTTGCATATAATTTACATAACTGCCTGAATGATGCTTCAAAATGGCAGGCAATACTACAGAGGACTTGTGACAGCCAACTGCAAGGGAATATCCTTTCAGTAAAACTCACCCATCCAAAAAGCTAGAATCAAACTAAAGCTACTCACATTTCACCATTACCATGTAAACATCAATGGTGCAGATAGGAGGCTGTGGCAAACGCTCTCCTTTCTCTAACAAGTCAGGAATTTCTCTTGTTGGGATCCCATCATAAGGCTTTCCACCAAAGGTCATAAGCTCCCAAATAGTGACACCTAAAGCAAAAGGGAGAATTCTCATTGTAGTTTATGCATACCTGAAACACATAACCATTTAACTGTGACTATAATGTTGTAGTGGAATTTGTGCCAATTCTTACTGAAAATATGTGAGCCAGACTTTTTCTATGGGGTCAAGAGATAAAATGGAAAATAGGTGTCCATATATGCATGGCATGGCATCCACCTCACTCATGTATCCCTACTTCTTACACCCATCCTTAGTATTTTCTTTGGCATCCCTTTCTATTGAACAACCCTCTCTGATATGAATGACTGAGATTTCACATATTTTAAATCTCCTGAGCACTTCCTGTTTGCATTTTAGCATTGCAGAACTGCATGGTGGACTGAGGCCATACATTTTAAAATCTGTTCTTAATCTATCCTAACCTGAAAATGTAAGGCCCTTTTCAAAACCAAGCTATAAAAAAATATGTGAAACATATCTAAGGCTGCTATCTTAAGATCCCTTGGAAGGACCTTTCCTTCCTAGGTCTGAGAGAAAGCTTTGATCTCAGGGAGGAAAAACTAATTTTGGATAACACTTTCTGGTTCCTGGAAATCTTCTGAGGCTCTTTCTTTCCAACACTGGAACTTTCATGTTGAAAAAGGCCACAGGGAAGCATGTGAAAAGCTATGGATGCTCTGGATGCAAGTAATCCCAACCTCCCATCACCCATTATCCCTGTAAATGTGCAAATGAGCAATGCCAGCCCCAGAGCTAATTCAAAAAGAAGATTCTCCCATTTGTCTGTGCTATGGGAGTATTAGATGGAGGGGGGCAGAGTGGGGGGGGGGGAGACAGGAAAGAGTTGAGTAGGGAAAGAAAAGTGAGGCTCTTCCCTTCCCCTTCATCAATCTTTTCACCAGGCTTTGGAATTATCACTGGTCCATCACCAGGATGCTCCATAATGTAGGATAGGATTGCCCTGTTCAAGGCTGGAAAAATCTATGCAGTGTCAGCTAATTTAATCCAAAGGCTTAGAAATTGGATACTCAGATTTTCCCATCACAAAACTCTGTAAATCTATGAACATATATTGAGACATGTAGAAGGAGGTAGTACAAGTACGGGTAGTCCCCGTGTTACAGACGACCCACAGTTAAGGACAGAGCCTACTATAGCAAAATTCAAGTTAAATACACAATGATTTGAGTTAAATACATAATGGTTCAAGTTCATTACACAATATTACTTATCCAGTATTATACAATAATACTGTTCTGGCTTACATACACATTTGACTTAAGGACAGACCTTGGGAATGGAACTCGTTCTTAAACTGGGGACTATCTGTATCATCAGAGGCAAGAAAAATATAATTTGAAGTGAATGAATGCTGAGAAAGTGATTAAAAATGCCAAAGGGAGGGAGGGGGGAATAGCTGCTATTTTTGGTCTCTTCATAAGTAAATAAGCAAACAAAGTTGACCTGAAATTATTGCTTCTCTAATTCAGAGCATCAGATGTTATTAACCACATTCCCATTTATTCAGAACAAATGAGACTGCATTTTTTTTTTTTGCTTTCTTTTAAAGATAATTTAAAATACGACAGCAAGCAAGGAAGCACATCTTGCAAATTGTCACATCTAGCAAGCTGTCACATCTAGCTTCCGGAGGATAGGCAATACAACCACATATACATAAACATACACACACACACACACACACACACACACACACACACACACTAGGATTTGTTCAAATGCATGTAATACATTTGTTATTCATCTCTCCCTAGAACTACTAACAACATTTTGCTTTGAGGACCACCGTATACCATCCCCAAGATACAGGTACAAGATGCAAGCTAGGAGAAGAGGTCAAAGGCAGGCTGAGCTGAGGCTAGAACTATGGGGAGAAGAAAAGCCTCAAGCATCAGGAAAAGCATCAGGAAACAGTCTGGGCGGAGTGAGGGTGGAAAAAGCTTCCCATGATGGATCCCTGGCATGAAAAGGATAGCCTATTAAGAAGAAAAGGCCAAGGTCTCTTTGGGAGAGAACTTTTCCTGCGAGTAGGAAGTGTGGAAGGTGGAACAGGAGATATTGAATACTGCAAGAGTCAAGAAGAGGAAAAGGCAGGGGAAAAAGGCTACTTTCTCACAACCAGAGGAATCACAGAGGTGAGGAGGAGCTGACCTGGGATAGCGAACATCCTGCCTTTTCTGAGGTCAGGCAGGAAAAGGATACTGAAGAGCCTACTGAGAAAAAGGAGAGGATGCCATGTTTCTTCTTGCATGCTTTCCATTCTTAACAGAAACAGACACAGGGCCACCCACAAGACACTGGGAATTTAGTATGAAGGCACACATACCTGCATAATTGACTACAATGGATTTTTGTTTTTCAGGTTTTCCCATTTGGGATTACCTCTTCAGTAAAAAAAAAGTTTTGACAGTTTGCATATTGATAAAACATTGCCAGCTTTTAATGAGAAGACATTAGGGAGAGAAAGCAATCATTTTTTTAAATTTATTCCTCTCTGCTCTTGCCAAACTCCTTTCCTTTCTGATGGGTCTTTGATTCTGTATTGCTCCAGGCAATGCCACCTCCTGTTCAGTCACATCACTCAAGGGATGAATATTGCAACATGAGGCAAAGTTACAGGCCACCTGTATCTGGCCTTCAGTAGTAAGCTTGGCTCCTTTGAAGGCTCTCTGAATTTCTAAGAAAGAATTGGAACTGGGATGAGTTCCAGTGCCTTCCTAAAAGTGTTCCCAAATGTGCATCTCAACACCCATCATTTGGAAAAATAATTAAACAAGAATCTGTTTGTTTGTGTGCCTCTGAGTCAGTCTTGACTCCTGGACAAGTCCCTGCAGTTTTCTTAGCAAGGTTTTTTGGAAGTGGCTTGCTCTTGCCTCCTTCCTAGGGCTAAGAGAGAGTGACTGGCCCAAGGT